ACTTCATCCACCAAACTTTATTTAAACTTTAATAGTCATAACTTCATAATTTCTCTTCACTCGAAGGCTTCTGGTGTCCAAATAAAAATGGCTACAACTGTGAGAAGTGGATTTAGAGTGTAAATACACAGATCCAGATATGAGCTGTAATTTATGACTCAAATTTGCTTCATCCACCAAACTTTATTTAAACTTTAATAGTCACAACTTCATCATTTCTCTTCACTCGAAGGCTTCTGGTGTCCAAATGTCTAAATAAAAATGGCTATAAGTATGAAATGAAGTGGATCTAGAGTCTAAATCCACAGATCCAGATATAATAAGCTGTAATTTTGTCTTTTTTTTTGTGTTTTTTTTTCAAAAGCAACTCAAAATTGACTCATCCACCAAACTGGGCATTATAGGAAATGGGCTCTTTTGATTGGTCAGATTCAGAAGAAACTTAATGCCAAACTGCTTATTGGCTGTGTGATGTCATGTGACTTCTATTATCCCGAATGGAGTCACATTATAAGAAAAAGAAAAGAAAAAGTATTTGAATTTATTTGATTTTTTTCCCAATACATAACGGTACCATTCAACAATTGCAATGAACATTTTTATAACAAGGGGCGATGTATAATAAAGTAAAATCCAGTGACAGAAAAAAATATTAAAACTAATCATTATGGAAAGCACTTTATATCAGCACTTTTTTTTTTTTTTTTTTTAAAAAAAAAAAAAAAAAAAATTTTTTTGAAAATTAAAAAAAAAATTAATTTAATTATTTTTTTTCAGATTAGAGAGATAGAGAGGGAAAGGGCCATGGGCTGGAATTGAACCCAGGCCCGCTGTAACCCGTTGGGCTACAGCATGGCCCTGACTTGACCTTTGACCCCAGCAGGCCGCCGCCCTCCGATGGCGTCCATTTCGACCACGACCACGAATGGAGGACCGACCCGGTTCAGCCGGAGACCCAAACCCACCGGCTGGTTGGAGACTTGGTGGGAGACGTGCCCCCCCCCCCCGGGGCCGCTCCCCCCCCACGCCAGCTTCTACCTGTTGCCCCCGGCGACGCCCGGCGCCCGGCGGGGGGGCAGTGGCGGGAGGAGCTTCGTGGAGAAAAACAAGCGGACTTTGGGGCGCCGCTCGGCCCAAAGGGGCGGATACGCGAAGGCCGGGAGGAGGCAGGAGACCGAGGTGGGTGGGAGACCCTGAACGCAACACGCAGTAACACACTAAGACATTGACATTGCTTTGCCTTTTAGGGCTGATTTGTTTGTTTTCTTAAGAATGATTAAACATTATTCAAATGGGCATTAATTTACAATGATCATCCATCCATCCATCCGTCCATCCATCCATCCATCCGTTCATCCATCCATCCATCCATCCATCCATCCATCCATCCATCCATCCATCCGTTCATCCATCCATCCATCCATCCATCCATCCATCCGTTCATCCGTTCATCCGTCCATCCATCCATCCATCCATCCATCCATCCATCCGTTCATCCGTTCATCCGTCCATCCATCCATCCATCCATCCATCCATCCATCCATCCATCCATCCATCCATCCGTCCATCCATCCGTTCATCCGTCCATCCCTTTTCTGAGCCGCTTATTCCAAAATGTGGTCTGGATAGGGGGACTGGAGCCTATCCCAGAATTCATTTGGTGAGAGGCAGGGTACACCTTTGACGGTCCACCAGTTACAATAATGATATGAATGCATATCATCATGACCTTTACCAAGATGACAATTTGAAAAATGAACGAAACATAATAGTAACCACCTGACACATGACTGATTTAGCCACCAGGGGCTGCACTCGCACCGGGGACCGGTCCAACTCCACCTCTGAGACCCGTCGGCTACGGGCTCCCGTTCTGCCTCCAGTCAGGTTTATGTTTTATGTTTATGCATTTGGCAGACGCTTTTATCCAAAGCGACTTACAGAGTAGACACAATATTACATTTATCATCACTATGACGATAAACTATACAGAGGAGAAACACTGATCAGAGTCAGTGGTGAGATAGAGATAGAGGTAGAGGG